TGTTTATTTTTATTATTTTATAATAATAAAACATCAAAAATAAACATAATAAAATCATTATTATGTTTATTTTTGCCAGTAAAAATATAATTGTTTTTTTACCCTTCTATCTGGCAACAAAACTGACACCTTTTGGCGTCATCTGGTCCAACACCATGTGAGACTAGGCTCTAAGGAAAGCTGTCTCAGGTGTGGACCAATCAACTTCAAGGACAGTGCATACATTATCAGAGTTGTTTTTTGTTTGCATTACGACCGCAGGTATTGTGGTCTATGCAAACATGACTCCTCGTAAAAAAAGGTGTCAGTTTTGTTGCCAGATAGAAGGATAAAAAAACAATTATCATATTTCCAATGATTACTCAGTTTGTACCCATCATCACGGTCGAAATGATGTCTGTGTTTGTATATCTGAATGGCTTCGTGTACAATTTTATTGTTTTACCCACGTGACTTTACCGGAAAAAAACCCTAAGAGTATGAATTTCTTGCAGTCACGAAAGCTTCAAATCTAGAATGCGCAGGAGGAGGAGGCCGTGGGTTCGATCGCACGACCCCCTGACGGCTGCATATTTGGAGTTGTCGCTCTCCCCGTGGTGGTCACCGCACGGCAGAAGTCGCAAACGGGTTTTGATTCCTTACCCGTAACCGGCCGCACCAGGGTCGCAAATGGGTACCCTACCCGAAATGAGTGACAAACGGCTACTCACCAGTGACTCACGGCCTACCCGTACCCGTAGCTGGCCGGGTACGGGTAGCCGGGTATCGGGTAGGGTACGGGTATCGGGTACCCGGTTGCGACCCCGGGCCCTGCAGTAAATGTCCACGTGATGACCACGACGACGATGATGACGATGATGATTATGATGACGATGATGATGACGATGATGATTATGATGATGACGATGATGATGATGACGATGATGATGATGACGACAATGATGACGATGATGATGATGATGACGATGATGATTATGATGACGATGATGATGACGATGATGATTATGATGATGACGATGATGATGATGATGACGACGATGACGATGATGATGACGACGATGACGATGATGATGATGACGACGATGATGATGATGACGACGATGATGATGATGACGATGATGATGATGACGACAATGATGACGATGATGATGATGATGACGATGATGATGATGATGACGACGATGACGATGATGACGATGATGATGATGACGACGATGATGATGATGACGACGATGATGATGATGATGACGATGATGATGATGACGACAATGATGACGATGATGATGATGATGACGATGATGATGATGATGACGATGATGATGATGACGACGATGATGATGATGACGACGATGATGATGATGACGATGATGATGATGATGACGATGATGATGATGACGACAATGATGACGATGATGATGATGATGACGATGATGATGATGATGACGATGATGATGATGACGACGATGATGACGATGATGATGATGACGATGATGATGATGATGGACATCAGCACTTCCTCGTGCCTCTCATTTGCTTCTGACAAAAGTGCCGCATGCCTCGGGCTCACACCTTGTCAACAAGCCCCAGAATAGTTTTAGTTCTCGTCGCGATTTGGTTCTTTGCATTGCCCTCGTGTTTGCGTGTCCTCTGTTATTGGAACGTTGTGACCCCGTCGCCTCGGCCGGACATGAGACACACAGACACGCAGAGAGACGCAGAGAGAAGCAGAGACGCACAGAGACACACAGAGACACAGTGAGACACAGTGAGACACAGTGAGACACACAGAGACGCGCAGAGACGCGCAGAGACGCGCAGAGACATGCAAAGACATGCAGAGACATGCAGAGACATGCAGAGACGCGCAGAGACACGCAGAGACACGCAGAGACACACAGAGGCACAGAGATACACAGAGAGACACACACACAGAGACACACACACAGAGACAGACACAGAGACACACACAGAGACACACACAGAGACAGACACAAAGACGCAAGTTGGGGCAAGTGCTGTTAGCGAGCGGCAACCATGTGCTTGACCCCCCACACCTCACGTGACCCCCGCACCCCACGTGACCCCCGCACCCCACGTGACCCCCACACCCCACGTGACCCCCACGCCCCACGTGACCCCCACACCCCATGTGACCCCCTCACCCCACGTGACCCCCACACCCCACGTGACCCCAACACCCCACGTGACCCCCACGCCCCATGTGACCCCCTCACCCCACGTGACCCCAAACCACACCCCACGTGACCCCACACCTCACGTGACCCCCACACCCCACGTGACCCCCGCACCCCACGTGACCCCACACCTCACGTGACCCCCACACCCCACGTAACCCCACACCTCACGTGACCCCCACGCCCCACGTGACCCCCGCACCCCACGTGACCCCCGCACCCCACGTGACCCCCTCACCCCACGTGACCCCCACGTGACCCCCACACCCCACGTGACCCCCACGCCCCACGTGACCCCCACGCCCCACGTGACCCCCACACCCCACGTGACCCCCACGCCCCACGTGACCCCCACGCCCCACGTGACCCCCTCGCCCCACGTGACCCCCACGCCCCACGTGACCCCCACACCCCACGTGACCCCCACACCTCACGTGACCCCCTCACCCCACGTGACCCCCTCGCCCCACGTGAGCCCCACACCCCACGTGACCCCCACACCTCACGTGACCCCCTCACCCCACGTGACCCCCTCGCCCCACGTGACCCCCTCGCCCCACGTGACCCCCTCGCCCCACGTGACCCCCACGCCCCACGTGAGCCCCACGCCCCACGTGACCCCCGCACCCCACGTGACCCCCGCACCCCACGTGACCCCCTCACCCCACGTGACACCCTCACCCCACGTGACCCCCACACCCCACGTGACCCCCACGCCCCACGTGACCCCCACACCCCACGTGACCCCCTCACCCCACGTGACCCCCTCACCTCACGTGAGCCCCACACCCCACGTGACCCCCACACCCCACGTGACCCCCACACCCCACGTGACCCCCACACCTCACGTGACCCCCTCACCCCACGTGACCCCCACACCTCACGTGACCCCCACGCCTCACGTGACCCCCACACCCCACGTGACCCCCTCCCCCCACGTGACCCCCACACCCCACGTGACCCCCACACCTCACGTGACCCCCTCACCCCACGTGACCCCCACACCTCACGTGACCCCCTCACCCAACGTGACCCCCACACCCCACGTGACCCCCTCGCCCCACGTGACCCCCACACGTGACCCCCACACCCCACGTGACCCCCACGCCCCACGTGACCCCCTCGCCCCACGTGACCCCTGCACCTCATGTGACCCCCGCACCTCACGTGACCCCCGCACCCCACGTGACCCCCGCACCCCACGTGACCCCCGCACCCCACGTGACCCCCTCACCCCACGTGACCCCCGCACCCCACGTGACCCCCGCACCCCACGTGACCCCCGCACCTCACGTGACCCCCGCACCCCACGTGACCCCCGCACCCCACGTGACCCCCTCACCCCACGTGACCCGGGCTGCCTGGGGGTGCCGCTGTAGGGGTCGCGACTTCAGCGTCGACTGCCTCGCAGCGCTCGCTACTTCCTACTCTCGCTCTGATGCAACCGGTGTTTGTATGTGTGTACACGTGTGTATACGTGTGTACGTGTGTACGTGTGTACACGTGTGTGTGTGTACGCGTGTACACGTGTGTGTGTATGCGTGTACACGTGTGTGTACGTGTGTACACGTGTGTGTGTGTACGCGTGTACACGTGCGTGTACACGTGTGTGTACGTGTGTACGTGCGTGTACACGTGTGTGTACGTGTGTACGTGTGTGTACACGTGTGTGTACGCGTGTACACGTGTGTGTACGCGTGTGTGTACGCGTGTACACGTGTGTGTACGCGTGTACACGTGTGTGTACGCGTGTACACGTGTGTGTACGCGTGTACACGTGTGTGTACGCGTGTACACGTGTGTGTACGCGTGTACACGTGTGTGTACGCGTGTACACGTGTGTGTACGCGTGTACACGTGTGTGTACGCGTGTACACGTGTGTGTACGCGTGTACACGTGTGTGTACGCGTGTACACGTGTGTGTACACGCGTGTACACGTGTGTGTACGCGTGTACACGTGCGTGTACACGCGTGTACACGTGCGTGTACACGCGTGTACACGTGCGTGTACGCGTGTACACGTGCGTGTACACGCGTGTACACGTGCGTGTACGCGTGTACACGTGCGTGTACGCGTGTACACGTGCGTGTACGCGTGTACACGTGCGTGTACGCGTGTACACGTGCGTGTACGCGTGTACGCGTGCGTGTACGCGTGTACGCGTGCGTGTACGCGTGTACGCGTGCGTGTACGCGTGTGTGTACGCGTGTGTGTACGCGTGCGTGTACGCGTGTACGCGTGTACGCGTGTGCGCGTGTACGCGTGTGCGCGTGTGCGCGTGTGCGCGTGTACGCGTGTGCGCGTGTGCGCGTGTGCGCGTGTGTACGTGTGTGTACGTGTGTGTACGTGTGTGTACGTGTGTGCACGTGTACACGTGTGTGTACGCGTGCGCGCGTGTGTGTGCGTGTACGCGTGCGCACGTGTGTGTGCGTGTACGCGTGCGCACGTGTGTGTGCGTGTACGCGTGTGTGTACACGTGTGTGTGGGGAGCGGTGGTGCAGCGGTTAGCGCTGCGCTACGAACCCGGCCACCCGAATTCGATTCCCGCTCACGGCCAAAACGTTGGGTGACGATTATCTGAACCAGTCCTGGGCCTCCCCTAGGTCGACTCGGCCTCAAATGAGTACCTGGTGTGTGCGGTGTGTAAATATCGCCACTGGGGAGACAAAGGCGGCCTGGCGTGGTGCTAGTCACCCACCCCCTCGTGTGCCGTGCCGGCCTTCATAGGTGCTCGCAAACAGCACTTGCCCCACCAGCGTGTGAAGGCTACACGGGGGATCTTTGTCTTTGTGTGCGTCACAGACGAAAGGCATCCCGGACCTCTCTCGCCATGGCCTTCCTGCAGGCGCTGTTCAAGTACATCGATGAAAACCAAGAACTCTACGTGAAGGTGAGTTAGTGAGAGTGAGTGAGTGTGTGAGTTAGTGAGTGTGTGAGTGTGTGAGTGAGTGTGCGGGTGAGTGTGCGAGTGAGTGTGCGAGTGAGTGAGTGTGTGAGTGTGTGCGAGTGAGTGAGTGGGTGGGTGGGTGAGTGTGTGGGTGAGTGAGTGGGTGGGTGAGTGAGTGTGTGTGTGAGTGTGTGAGTGAGTGAGTGTGTGAGTGAGTGTGTGGGTGAGTGAGTGTGTGAGTGAGTGAGTGAGTGGGTGAGTGAGTGAGTGTGTGAGTGTGTGTGTGGGTGTGTGAGTGTGTGTGTGAGTGAGTGAGTGTGAGTTTGTGAGTGTGTGAGTGAGTGTGTGAGTGAGTGAGTGTGTGAGTGTGTGAGTGAGTGTGCGGGTGAGTGTGCGAGTGAGTGAGTGTGTGAGTGTGTGCGAGTGAGTGTGCGGGTGAGTGTGCGAGTGAGTGTGCAAGTGAGTGAGTGTGTGAGTGTGTGCGGGTGAGTGTGCGAGTGAGTGTGCGAGTGAGTGAGTGTGTCAGTGAGTAGGTGAGTGTGTGGGTGAGTGAGTGAGTGTGTGAGTGAGTGTGTCAGTGAGTAGGTGAGTGTGTGGGTGAGTGAGTGAGTGTGTGAGTGAGTGTGTCAGTGAGTAGGTGAGTGTGTGGGTGAGTGAGTGAGTGTGTGAGTGAGGACTTCCCCCCCCCTCCCATGTCTCACCCCCCGTGTCTCACCCCCCCCCCCCGTAGCGTCTGTCCGAGTGGGTGGCTGTCCCCAGCGTGTCCGCGTGGAGCGAGAGTCGCCCCGAAGTTGTCCGCATGGTGCAGCTGGCGGCCCACGAGGTCACAAGGCTCGGAGGCAGCGTGGAGCTCGTGGACATCGGCACGCAGACGGTGCGGGAGACACGGGGAGACACGGGGAGACACGGGGAGACACGGGAGACACGGGGAGACACGGGGAGACACGGGGAGACACGGGAGACACGGGGAGACACGGGAGACACGGGAGACACGGGGAGACACTGGGGAGACACGGGAGACAGGGGGAGACACGGGGGGAGAAACGGGGAGAGACACACGGGGAGAGACACACGGGGAGACACGGGGAGACACGGGGAGACACGGGGAGACACACGGGGAGAGACACACGGGGAGACACGGGGAGAAACGGGGAGACACGGGGAGAGACACACGGGGAGACACGGGAGACACGGAGACACGGAGAGACACGGGAGACACAGGGAGGGACAGGGAGACACGGGAGACACGGGAGACACGGGGAGACACGGGAGACACGGGGAGACACGGGGAGACGCGGGGAGACGCGGGGAGACACGGGGAGACGCGGGGAGACACGGGGAGACACGGGGAGACACGGGGAGACACGGGGAGACATGGGGAGACACACACGGGGAGACACGGGGAGACACGCACGGGGAGACACGGGGAGACACGGGAGACACGCACGGGGAGACACGGGGAGACACGGGGAGACACGGGGAGACACACACGGGGAGACACGGGGAGACACACACGGGGAGACACGGGGAGACACACACGGGGAGACACGGGGAGACACGGGGAGACACGGGGAGACACGGGGAGACACGCACGGGGAGACACGGAGAGACACACGGGGAGAGACACACAGACATACTGACCCTGACACACGCACACAGACACACGTACACCCTGACACACGTACACACGCACCACGTACACACTGACACACGTACACACACGTGACGTACACACTGACACACGTGACGTACACACTGACACACGTACACACACACACACGTGACGTACACACTGACACACGTACACACGTACACACTGACGTACACATTGACACACGTACACACTCACACACGTGACGTACACACTGACACACGTACACACGTACACACGTACACACTGACGTACACATTGACACACGTACACACACGTACACACTGACACACTCACACTGACACACTCACACTGACACACTCACACTGACACACTCACACTGACACACTCACACTGACACACACACACTGACACACGTACACACTCACACACGTACATGTGACACACACGTACACACACGTACACACGTGACGTGCCGCTCTGCTAGATGCCAGACGGCTCCCAGCTGGCACTGCCCCCCATCCTGCTGGCGACGCTGGGCACTGACACACACGTACACACACGTACACACACGTACACACACATACACACACGTACACACTGACACACGTGACATACACACACGTACACACACGTACACACGTACACACTGACACACGTGACATACACACACGTACACACACGTACACACGTACACACTCACACACGTGACGTACACACACGTACACACGTACACACTCACACACGTGACATACACACACGTACACACACGTACACACGTACACACTCACACACGTACACACACACACGTACACACGTGACGTGCCGCTCCGATAGATGCCGGATGGTTCCAAGCTGGCGCTGCCGCCCATCCTGCTGGCGACGCTGGGCACGGACCCGTCCCTCAAGACGGTGCTCATCTACGGCCACCTCGACGTGCAGCCGGCGCGTCTCGACGACGGCTGGGACACGGAACCCTTCACCCTCACCGAGAAGGACGGTGAGGACCCATCGCCCGCTCACTCGCTCACCTAGCCACTCGCTCGACCGCTCGCTCGCTCACTCACCCAGCCGCTCGCTCGCTCGCTCGCTCACTCACTCACTCACCCAGCTACTCACTCACCCAGCCACTCGCTCGACCGCTCGCTCGCTCACTCACCCAGCTACTCACTCACCCAGCCACTCGCTCGACCGCTCGCTCGCTCACTCACCCAGCTACTCACTCACCCAGCCACTCGCTCGACCGCTCGCTCACTCACCCAGCCACTCGCTCACTCACTCACCCAGCCACTCGCTCGACCGCTCGCTCACTCACTCACCCAGCCACTCGCTCAACCATTCGCTCACTCACTCACCCAGCCACTCCCTCGACCGCTCGCCCAGCCACTCGCTCACTCGCTCACTCACCCAGCCACTCCCTCGACCGCTCACTCACTCACCCAGCCACTCGCTCGCTCGCTCACTCACCCAGCCACTCCCTCGACCGCTCGCCCAGCCACTCGCTCGCTCACTCACCCAGCCACTCCCTCGACCGCTCACTCACTCACCCAGCTACTCACTCACCCAGCCACTCGCTCGACCGCTCGCTCGCTCACTCACCCAGCTACTCACTCACCCAGCCACTCGCTCGACCGCTCGCTCGCTCACTCACCCAGCCACTCGCTCACTCACTCACCCAGCCACTCGCTCGACCGCTCGCTCACTCACTCACCCAGCCACTCGCTCAACCATTCGCTCACTCACTCACCCAGCCACTCCCTCGACCGCTCGCCCAGCCACTCGCTCACTCGCTCACTCACCCAGCCACTCCCTCGACCGCTCACTCACTCACCCAGCCACTCGCTCGCTCGCTCACTCACCCAGCCACTCCCTCGACCGCTCACTCACTCACCCAGCCACTCGCTCGCTCGCTCACTCACCCAGCCACTCCCTTGACCGCTCGCTCGCTCACTCACTCACTCACCCAGCCACTCCCTCGACCGCTCGCCCAGCCACTCGCTCGCTCACTCACCCAGCCACTCCCTCGACCGCTCACTCACTCACCCAGCCACTCGCTCGCTCACTCACTCACTCACCCAGCCACTCCCTTGACCGCTCGCTCACTCACTCGCTCACTCACCCAGCCACTCCCTTGACCGCTCGCTCGCTCACTCGCTCACTCACCCAGGCACTCCCTCGACCGCTCGCTCGCTCACTCACCCATCCACTCCCTCGACCGCTCGCTCACTCACTCACCCAGCCACTCGCTCGACCGCTCGCTCACTCACCCAGCCACTCGCTCGACCGCTCGCTCACTCACCCAGCCACTCGCTCGACCGCTCGCTCACTCACCCAGCCACTCGCTCATCCGCTCGCCCAGCCACTCGCTCGCTCACTCACCCAGCTACTCCCTCGACCGCTCGCCCAGCCACTCGCTCGCTCGCTCACTCACCCAGCCACTCGCTCGACCGCCCACTCGCTCACTCACCCAGCCACTCGCTCGACCGCCCACTCACTCAATCACCCAGCCACTCCCTCGACCGCTCGCTCACTCACTCACCAGCCACTCGCTCGACCGCTCGCCCATCTACTCGCTCACTCGCTCACTCACCCAGCCACTCGCTCACTCACCCAGCCACTCCCTCGACCGCTCGCCCATCTACTCGCTCACTCGCTCACTCACCCAGCCACTCGCTCACTCACCCAGCCACTCACTCACCCAGCCACTCCCTCGACCGCTCGCCCAGCCACTCGCTCGCTCGCTCACTCACCCAGCCACTCGCTCGCCCGCCCGCTCGCTCACTCACTCAGCCACTTGCTCACTCACTCACCCAGCCACTCACTCGACCGCTCGCCCAGCCACTCGCTCGCTCACTCACCCAGCCAATCGCCCGCCTGCTCACTCACTCACTCGCCCAGCCACTCCTTCGACCACTCGCTCGCTCACTCACCCAGCCAATCGCCCGCCTGCTCGCCCGCTCGTCCGCCCGCTCGCTCGTTTGCTCGCCCGCTCGTTCGCTGGAGCACTCGCTCGTCCGCTTGCTGACCCCCCACTCGCTCAATCGCCCGCCCGCTCGCTCACTCGCCCAGCCACTCGCTCGCCCAGCCACTCGCTCATCCGCCCGCAAACAAGCTTTGCTCATCCGCTCACTCGCTCACACACTCACCCACTCACTCAATTACCCACCCGCTCACCTACCCAATCACTCACCCGCTCACTCCGTGACTCTGTGTGAGTCTCTGAGTGAGTCTCTGTGTGAGACTCTGAGTGAGTCTCTGTGTGAGTCTCTGTGTGAGTCTCTGTGTGTGTCTCTGTGTGAGTCTCTGTGTGTGTCTCTGTGTGAGTCTTTGTGAGTCTCTGTGTGAGTCTGTGTGTGTCTCTGTGTGTGTTTCTGTGTGTGTCTCTGAGTGAGTCTCTGAGTGAGTCTCTGTGTGTCTCTGTGTGAGTCTCTGTGTGTGTCTCTGTGTGAGTCTCGGTGTGAGTCTGTGTGTGAGTCTCTGTGTGAATCTCTGTGTGAGTCTTTGTGAGTCTCTGTGTGTGTCTCTGTGTGTGTCTCTGTGTGAGTCTTTGTGAGTCTTTGTGTGTCTCTGTGTGTGTCTCTGTGAGTCTCTGTGAGTCTCTGTGTGAATCTCTGTGTGAGTCTCTGTGTGTGTCTCTGTGTGAGTCTCTGTGTGTGTCTCTGTGTGAGTCTTTGTGAGTCTCTGTGTGAGTCTCTGTAAGTCTCTGTGTGAGTCTTTGTGAGTCTCTGTGTGTCTCTGTGTGAGTCTCTGTGTGAGTCTCTGTGTGAGTCTCTGTGTGTGTCTCTGTGTGAGTCTCTGTGTGAGTCTGTGTGTGAGTCTGTGTGTGAGTCTGTGTGTGAGTCTCTGTGTGAGTCTCTGTGTGAGTCTGTGTGAGTCTCTGTGTGAGTCTCTGTGTGTGTCTCTGTGTGAGTCTCTGTGTGAGTCTGTGTGTGAGTCTGTGTGTGAGTCTGTGTGTGAGTCTGTGTGTGAGTCTCTGTGTGAGTCTTTGTGAGTCTCTGTGTGTGTCTCTGTGTGAGTCTTTGTGAGTCTTTGTGAGTCTTTGTGTGAGTCTTTGTGTGTCTCTGTGTGTGTCTGTGTGTGTCTCTGTGTGAGTCTCTGTGTGAGTCTTTGTGAGTCTCTGTGAGTCTCTGTGTGAGTCTTTGTGAGTCTCTGTGAGTCTCTGTGAGTCTCTGTGTGAGTCTTTGTGAGTATCTGAGACTACACCACCACTCCCATTGCAGACTGGGGGGGGGGTGGGGGGTCGATTCCTGACTGCATGGAGTTTGTACCTTGACCCTTGACCCCTACGACAGAGAGTGTGTGAGATTGTTTGAGATTGTGTGAGATTGTGTGTGTGTGTAAGGCATTGTGTGAGTGTGTATGAGTGTGTGTGAGTGTAAGACATTGTGAGTGTGTGTGAGTGTGTGTGAGTGAGTGAATGAGTGTGTGGGAGTGTGTTTGTGAGACTGTGAGTGTGTGTAAGAAAATGTGAGTGAGTGTGTCAGAGTGTTTGTTAGTGTAAGACAGTGTGAGTGAGTGTGAGTGAGTGTGTCTGTGAGTGAGTGAGTGTGTGAGTGAGTGTTTGTGAGACAGTGTGTGAGAGAGTGTCAGAGTGTGTGTTAGTGTAAGACAGTGTGAGTGAGTGTGAGTGAGTGTGTCTGTGAGTGAGTGAGTGTGTGAGTGAGTGTTTGTGAGACAGTGTGTGAGAGAGTGTCAGAGTGTGTGTTAGTGTAAGACAGTGTGAGTGAGTGTGAGTGAGTGTGTCTGTGAGTGAGTGTGTGAGTGAGTGTTTGTGAGACAGTGTGTGAGAGAGTGTCAGAGTGTGTGTTAGTGTAAGACAGTGTGAGTGAGTGTGTCTGTGAGCGTGAGTGAGTGTGTGAGTGAGTGTGTGAGTGAGTGTGTGAGTGAGTGTTTGTGAGACAGTGTGTGAGAGACTGTCAGAGTGTGAGTTACGATTATCTGAACCGGTCTTGGGCCTCCCCTAGGTCGACTCAGCCTCAATGAGTACTTGGTGTGGTGTGTAACCATCGCCACTGGGGAGACAAAGGCGGTCGGGCGTGGTGCTGGCCACCCACCCCCTCGTGTGTCGTGCCGGCCTTCATAGGTGCTCGCTAACAGCACTTGCCCCTACAGTCTGTTTAGGCTACACGGGGGATCTTTGTCTTTGTGAGTGTGAGAGAGTGTGTCTGTGAGTGAGTGTGTGTAAGACAGTGGGAGTATGTGTGAGACAGTGTGAGTGAGTATGTTTGTGTGAGTATGTTTGTGTGAGTGAGTGTGTTTGTGTGAGTGAGTGTGTGTAAGACAGTGGGAGTATGTGTGAGACAGTGTGAGTGAGTATGTTTGTGTGAGTGAGTGTTTGTGTGAGTGAGTGTGTGTAAGACAGTGGGAGTATGTGTGAGACAGTGTGAGTGAGTATGTTTGTGTGAGTGAGTATGTTTGTGTGAGTGAGTATGTTTGTGTGAGTGAGTGTGTGTAAGACAGTGGGAGTATGTGTGAGACAGTGTGAGTGAGTATGTTTGTGTGAGTGAGTATGTTTGTGTGAATGAGTATGTTTGTGTGAGTGAGTATGTTTGTGTGAGTGAGTGTGTGTAAGACAGTGGGAGTATGTGTGAGACAGTGTGAGTGAGTATGTTTGTGTGAATGAGTGTTTGTGTGAGTGAGTGTGTGTAAGACAGTGGGAGTATGTGTGAGACAGTGTGAGTGAGTATGTTTGTGTGAATGAGTGTTTGTGTGAGTGAGTGTGTGTAAGACAGTGGGAGTATTTGTGAGACAGTGTGAGTGAGTATGTTTGTGTGAGTGAGTATGTTTGAGTGTGTGAGTGAGTGTTTGTGTGAGTGAATGTGTGTAAGACAGTGTGAGTGAGTATGTTTGTGTGAGTGAGTATGTTTGTGTGAGTGAGTGTGTGTAAGACAGTGGGAGTATGTGTGAGACAGTGTGAGTGAGTATGTTTGTGTGAGTGAGTGTGTTTGTGTGAGTGAGTGTGTGTAAGACAGTGGGAGTATGTGAGACAGTGTGAGTGAG